TTATCAATCATACCAACACAATTTCCAGCGACTATTATGTCATCTACATAAACTAGTATAGCATTGAAGTAATGTCCATCACTCTTGGTAAAAACGCTGTCATCCGCCTTTGATTGAACAAATCCCTGATCAATAATAAATTTAGAAAGCTTGGCATACCATTGGCGTGATGCTTGCTTCAATCCATACAAGCTTTTCTTAAGCTTGCAGACTTTCCCTTTGGCGTTTGACTCATAGCAGCCTGGTGGAATCTCCATGAACACTTCCTCTTCTAGTTCCTCGTGTAAGAAGGTATTGTTGGCATAAAATTTAAAAAGATTCCACCCTGTTATGGCTGCAAATGCTAACAAAGTTCGAATTGTGATTAATTTGGCAACTGGTGAGAAAGTCTTGTGGTAATCAAGTCCCTCTTGTTGCGTGTACCCCTTGGCCACAAGCCTTGCTTTGAACCTCTCTATGCTGCCATCTACCTTATACTTCACTTTGTAAACCCATCTGCATCCTATTGCTTCTTTACCAGGGGGAAGGTTAACCAAAGTCCAGGTGTCATTAAGTTCAAGAGCCTTAATTTCATCTCTCATGGCTCTACACCATTTTGGGGAGTTTTTGGCTTGCTGGTAGTTCTTAGGCTTAGTATGGGAAGTAACAGAGACAACAAAAGTTTTGTAAGAACTTGATAATTTTTCATATGAAAGGCAGTCACCGAGAGGGTAATATTTACCTGATTCCTTCAGCTTGTTGGACTCTTGGAATGGATGAAATGTTGTGGCCTGATGACATATGAAGTCTTGGAGATGTGCTGGGGCTTTTTTTCTGGTTGATTTTCGAGGTAAGTGAGTGGGAGTGATATTTGATGATAGTTCAGTATTACCAGAATCTAAAGTGTCATGATCAGTTGTAACATGAGGTTCATTATTGGAATTCTGCTCAGACTCTTCTATAGGCTGAATGACTGGGGGTTTTATCCTTGTTGAACCATTTGATTTTGCTGTAACATCTTCATTTTGGGGAATGGAATCTGGAACAGAATTGACATTGGTTTGTTCAGTGAACTCATCTTTGAATGGAAAGACATTTTCATATAACAAAACATTTCTTAAGACAAAGATTTTTTTGGTTTGGAGATCTAACATAGCGTATCATTTGATTCCAAAAGGGTAACCTATAAACACACACCTTCTAGCTCTAGGATCAAATTTATGTTTCCCATTAACAATGGTAGTGGCAAAGGCAAGACAATCAAAAGTTTTCAGATGTTTATATGAAGGTTTTTTGTTGAATAAAACCTAATAAGGGCTCTTTCCTTTTAGGACAGTGGAGGGAATTCTATTGATCAAATGCACTACAATTATGATGCAATGATTCCAATACCTCAAAGGAATTTCACTTTGGAATTTGAGTGCCCTAGCTATATTGAGGATATGTTGATGTTTTATTTCAACCACGGC